CACGCTGGAGTGCAGTGGTGCAATCTCAGCTCACTGAAACCTCCACTTTTTGGATTCAAGTGATTCTCCTTCCTCAGTCCCCTGAGTAGCTGGGATTACAGGTGCACAGTGTGATGCCTGGCTATTTTTTTTTTTTTTTTTTTTTTGTATTTTAGTAGAGATTGGGTTTCTTCATGTTGGCCAGAATTGCTTCAATCTCCTGACCTTGTGATCCACCTGCCTTGGCCGCCCAAAGTGCTAGGATTACAGACCTGAGCCACCACACCTGGTCTTTTTGAGTGTAATTTAAGTTCATTTCTTCTTATTTACTTTCAGCCTTGATGATTTATTTAGTGCTGTCAGTAAAGTATTGAAGTCCCCCATTATTATGGTATTGCTGTTTATCTCGGTTTTTAGGTGTAGTAAAAATCATTTTATAACTCTGGAAGCTCCAGTGTTAGATGCTTTTATATTTAGGATTCTAATATCATCTTGTTGGACTAATTATTTTATTATTTTATAATATCCTTCCTTCTTTGTCTTTTTTTTAAGACAAAGAAGGATATTAACTGACCTTCCTGTTGGATTAATTTTATATCATTATGTAGTATGTAGTATCCTTCTTTGTCTTCAGACCTTAATGCAACAGATTTTTGAGCTTTAAGGTTTGTTTTGTTTAAGAATAGCTGCTCTTGCTTGCTTTTGGTTTTCATTCTTGTGGAATATCTTTTTTCACCCTTTTACCTTAAATTTCATGAGTGCTTATGTGTTAAGTATCTGAAGATAGCAGATATGTGGTTGTTGGAATTTTATCCATTCTGTCATTCTATACTTTTTTAATGTAGAACATTTAGGCCATTTACATTTAATGTTAATGTTAAGATGTGTGGTATTCTTCAATTAATCATGTCAGTTGTTACCTACTTTGTTTTTTCATTGTTATTATATAGGTCCTGTGAGATTTATGCTTTAAGGAGGTTCTATTTTGGTGCATATCAAGCTTTTGTTTTAAAATTTAGAACTCCCTTTAGCATTTCCTTTCCTGTAGTGCTGGTTCAATAGTGGCAAATTCCTTCAGCTCTTTTTTGTCTAAAAAAAGTCAATGTGAAGGAAATAATTTTAAGAGCTGTGAAACAGAGTATCAGGTAGGTAACCTATAAAAAAATCTGTCAGACTAACAGCAGATTTCTCAGCAAAAAACGTACAAACCCGGGGGATAGGGGTCCTTCTGCTTTTAGCGTGAAACAAAATAAATGTCAGCCAATAATTCTGTATTTATCAAAACTAGGATTTATAAATAAGAAAGAGATAAAATATTTTTCAAGCTTTTTTGTGCAGTTTGTGGTTTTGTTTTCTTCTTTATAATTGCCCATATACCAAATATAGAATTTTTCATTCTTTTTATTTTTAATATGCACATTTTCTATTTCATTATAAAATTCTTTTATTTTAACATCATATAATTGACCAAATCAGTAAATTTTTGCATAATTAACTTTATTTTATAGTATTCTATAAATTATATGTGCCTTTCATGCTGAGGTAGAATAATAGATGCAAAAATACTACAAAAATCTAAATAGATGTTATCCCTGCTTTTATAAAAGTTAAAGTAAAGGAAACAGGTATTATAAAATTTTACATATATTAATGTTATGTTGACCAGTAAAATGTGCTTTGACAGAATTTTAAAAGGTAACCATTGAAATTAACAGTCTAGGGCAGGCATTGCTGAAAAAGTAACACATCACCTAATAAATGCTTAAAATAATTTGTGTTGTTTTTACTCACTCAAAATTCCTTTCATTTGTTTCCCAAATAGCATTCTCTTTTCTATCAGTGAATTCTCCTACATTTCATACCCTCTTGGCCCATGGGTGAACATGTGACCCATGCCAAGATAATAATATTTTCTCCTACACGTTTAAATTTTAAACATGTACTCTAAAGATCAGAAAATGGTCAGACCTATGTCAGTCCAATGGTAGTATAACGCACCCTATTTGTTAATTTTTATTCATATAACTCTTAAAACCAAGCTTAGTTCTGTCCTTCCAGAATTATGAGACAGACTATTGTCTGAATTCTCTATAATAAGCATAAATAGGCAATAAATTCACCTTGTTGTTTAAATTGTACAGTATTCACTTCTGTGGGTTATATAACAATCAATCCTAGCTGAAGTAATCATTATACTATAGGAAGAAAAGAAGTAAGATGCTTACAGATGAAGCTAGAAGTCAACTGGTGTAGGCTTTCAGGCCATAAAGGAGTTTTAAATTTCATTCTAATGGAAAACATTTTAAGCAGAAGACAGCATAATCACAAGTATACATTCATACTTAAACAGCTTCATTGTCTGGAGTAACACCTGATGTTCATTGTCTCACAGCTATGAAAAACTAGTACATGGACACAAAGAGTGAGGTTGAGAGCAGAAGTTTAATAGACAATAGAAAGAGAATAATTCTCTGCTGCAGACAGGGGTTGAAATAAATGGACTGCTGGTCTGTGGTGAAATGCAGGGAATTTTATAGATAAGCTGAGGTGGTGGTGTATGATTTACATATGGTATAAAAAACTGGTTAGACCAAGTGTGCCATTAGCGTAGACACAAATCTTTGGTAATCCCCATTCTAATATTTTATTATGCAGGCAGGATTCTCTGCCTAAGGTGTTCAGTTTGAAAGTGAGCTAGGGGCTTATATGCTAAACCAATTAAGAAGTCTCTTGGTCTAACAGAAAATTATTTGTAAGGAAAGACCATCCATATAGCATTTGAAAAGAGCACAGACCTAACTTTCAAAAGGTATTTTGTACCCACATTAAAGCAATAGAAAGAAGAGTGATGCAAACAAGGTGAGGTCCTTGGGATAGTTTTTTGAGGTATCTTTTAATGACATCATTTGTCTTCTCTACCTTTACTGAGGACTGGGGTCTCTGAGCAAAATGGAGATGACACTGTATGCCTAGTTTCTTTGAGACCCCCCGTGTGATGGCTGCCATAAATGAGGGTTCATTGTCACTTTGGAGGTATTTACATACCAAGCAGGGAGTTATTATATTAACTAACACTTTTATCACCTCAGAGGTTTTTATCAGCATTACATTAAAATGCTTCCACCTAGTTAGTAAAATTATCTACCCATAGCCATCGCACCCACCCCCTGCCAATGGTATTTTAAAGAATATCCATTAGTGGTAAGAAAATGTCTTCTGCTTTAGGCCGGGTGCGGTGACTCAAGCCTGTAATCCCAGCACTTTGGGAGGCCAAGACGGGTGGATCACAAGGTTGAGAGATCGAGACCATCCTGGTCAACATGGTGAAACGCCATCTCTACTAAAAATACAAAAAATTAGCTGGACATGGTGGCACGTGCCTGTAATCCAAGCTACTCAGGAATCTGAGGCAGGAGAATTGTCTGAATCCAGGAGGCGGAGGTTGCAGTGAGCCGAGATCGCGCCATTGCACTCCAGCCTGGGTAACAAGCGAAACTTTGTCTGAAAAAAAAAAAAGAAAGTGTCTTCTGCTTCAGCATGAGTATGAAGAACTAGGAAAGCATACTTAGAGTCATTGCAAAGGTTAGCTACCTTTTTCTTTGTTAATTCAAGTGCTCTTGTAAGAGCTATCAGTTCAGCTAGTTGTGCACTTGTGTGTGAAGAAAGGAATGCAGTTATAATAACACCATTTGGAGTGACCATTGCATATCCTGCTTAATACAGGGTGCTTGCTCCACAAAGAAACTTCCAGCTATGAAAAGGGTCAAGTCTGGATTTTCTAGGAAAGTTTCCCTGAGATCCTCCCTGGCTACATACATCCGTACCACAACTTCCTCACAGTCATGTTAGGTTCTGCCATTTCCTTTGGTAGGAAAGTTGTTGGGTTTAGGTGAGAACAAGTTTTCAATTAGACTGTAGAGCCCTCTAATGGAAGAGCCTGATATTTAAGGAGCTGGCTGTCTCTTGGTCAAAGGCTTCCCCTAGAGCACAGCAATCCTGTTACCTCATGTGTGATATAAACAGTTAAGCCATTTCCCAGGGTTAATTTCTTGGTCTCTGTCACCAGTAAGGTCACTGCAAAAACTGCTGAGAGGCATGCTGGCTATCCTTTAGCCACAATATCAAGTTTCTTACTCAGGTAATAAATTAAGCTGTTCAGCTGGTCCTCAGGCTTGAGGTAAAATTCCCAGTGTGGTTCCCTCCTTTATGATACATATGAGGTAATATAAGGGGCAAGCTATCTTGCCCAGCCACCCATAGTCTACAAAACCCAGTAATGCCCCCACATCCTCTTACTTGCTTGAGGGATTTAGGTAGGGGAAAGAAGGAAATTGGCTTAATCATTTCTTCCTATAATGTTGTGGTCCCTTCAGACAACACCAAACACAGGTATGTCACTGAGATTTGGCAAAGCTGGGCCTTAGATTTTGAATGCTTATATCCTCTGTCAGCTAAGAAATTAAGAAGACCTTCATTGCCTTTTTGAGAACTGTTCTCTGTTGTGACACAGAACAGTAGGTCATCTACATTGTGGACCCTGACCTGAGGATAGGAAAATTCAGAGAAGTCCTTTGACAGTGCCTGTCCAAAGAAGTGAAGACTGTCTTGAAGTCACTGAGGCCGCACCATCCATGTTAACTGGGCAGTTTGGCTCGAAGAATCTTCAAAGGGAAACACATATTGAGAGTTCAGATGTAATGGTATAGATAAAAAGGTATCCTTTAGTTCTAGTACTATGAATCATTTAGTTCCCTCAGGTACTTGGGTGAACAAGGCATAGAGATTATAAACTACTGGACGAATTGGCATTACAGTCTCATTAATGAAATGGAGGTCCTGAATTAGTCTTCATTTCCCAATGTGGTTTTGCATTCCTAATATTGGGGTGTTGCAGGGGTTGTTATAGGGTTTGAGTAGGCCCTGCATTTTCAGGTGTTTAATATTGGCTTCTAGGTCTTTCATAGCATCTGGCTTCAGGGAATATTGTCCTAACTATCCCCTAAACCCAAACAAAAACTAGGATGCATAAGGTGAATCTGGACTGGCCTAGTGGTTATAACTTGACCTGTTCTTCCATGAGTTGCCCACACTTCTGGATTAATATTAGCTTCCACTGTGGGGAAATAAAGGATTTGTCCTCGGGCTATAAGAATGCTGACCCCATGTGAGTTAAAATATCTCTACCAAATAAAGGAGTGGGATTTTTAGGCATGATTAAAAAGGCATGAGTAGGGCCAGGCGCGGTGGCTCAAGCCTGTAATCCCAGCACTTTGGGAGGCCGAGGCGGGTAGATCATGAGGTCAACAGATCGAGACCATCCTGGTCAACATGGTGAAACCCCGTCTCTACTAAAAATTACAAAAAATTAGCTGGGCATGGTGGCGCATGCCTGTAATCCCAGCCACTCAGGAGGCTGAGGCAGGAGAATTGCCTGAACCCAGGGGGCGGAGGTTCCGGTGAGCCGAGATTGCGCCATTGCACTCCAGCCTGGGTAACAAGAGCGAAACTCCGTCTCAAAAAAAAAAAAAAAAAAAAAAAAAGGCATGAGTAAATAATAGAATCCCCAAACTACAACTAAGGGTTTTAGAATAATATCAGGTAACTGTCTTTCTTGAGATTCGTATCACAGTCATGCCACAAGAAGAGGGGAAGCTTGGATGAGAGAGAAGAAAAAGACTGGATCCAGTGTCCAGAAGGAAGTCCACCCTTCTTCCTTCAATTTCCAGTATCACCAGGGCTCCTGAGCAATAATGGCAGTTAGAACCAATGGAGTTGGGGTCTGGGCCCTGGGACCCATCAGTCCTGTTGGACCATTGTGAAACCAGTTTTGGATCTGGTGACCTCCATCTCTGTGGGCAGTTTGATTTCCAGTGGTCACTACCATGAGCTGAATGGAGTCAGGTTGACTTCTTGCTGCCTGGGTAATCCTTCTTAAAGTGCCCTGACTTAACACATTTGTAGAAATTAGCAGGAGCACCTCTGAAATTTTGAGTTTTGCAAGCCTGCAAAGCAGCTACTACAGCCTCTGTCTTTCTTTGGTGTTTCTTCTTTATATCCTGGGCCTCCTCTCGGTTCCTGTTTTAAAATGTGGAGGTGGCCACCCTCAAGAGGCTTTCTGGATGCTATCTGGTTCTGTAGCCTGCTTCTGCAGTTTCCATCTAACATAGGGAGCTCAATGTGCTATGAACATGTCCTTTTCAATTGCTTGTTCCTTGACTTTTTCAGGAGAAAGGAGGTGTGTTTTATTAGTGCCTCTTTCAGTGTTGCCATAAAGGTTGTAGGATTCTCATCTAGGTTTTTGTCTATCATGGACATTTTAGAGTAATTAAGAGGTTTGGCTCTAATTCATCATAGGCTCTCCAACATGTGCATTAAAAAGTGTTCTTTTCCATTTATATGTGTAGTTGGGGTTCTAATCAGGGTTGTCAGTAGGTATTTCCTCTCTTTCTGTTGGGAATAGTGATTCCCCTATTTTTCACCTTAGCTATTTTGTCTTTTGCTTTTGACCTATTAGAGGAGACATATAACTCATCTTTGAATTCCTGAATTCCTCTGTTGCCTTCAGAACTGCCTGTTTTTCTGCAGCAGTTAGAACTTGGCTTAGGAGCAACATAGCATCCCTCCATGAGAGGTCAAACAACTGAGTTAAATTTTGGAATATACCTCTCAGGGTCTCTCTTTATTTGCCTAAGATACTGAATTGAGAAGGGAACTTGAAACCTAGTGGCATCACCTGCACTGATATTTCCCATATGAGCCAGAGCAAGGAGGAGTGGGAATTTTGGGAGATGGTAGAAGTGGAGAAGCCTACAATGTGGTTGGAGGGGGGCCCTGTATAGGGAAACAGGAAGGGTTAGGAACTCTATAACTCCCTCAGATGCTTCTCTGAGAAGTTGTCTTTTTAGTTTTGGAGATTTGCTCCTTTTCAGCCTCAATGATATGATTGACAAAAGAGCTGGGTCGATTGTGCAATGCTTCCAAAGGTCTGGGTTGTCTCATTAGTATGGTAGCCTCATCTTAATCTTTTATTATGCAAAGAAAACCTGTATACATAGAAAACCTTGAACCATTTGCTCTCTCATCTACACAAATAATCTAATTTTTGGATAGTATTAAAATTGAGGCTTTCCTGAAAAACGGTTAGTTCAAGACAATAAGAAGGCCATACCATCTTGCAAAAGAAAATGAGCCACTTTTTCTTCAAAGTCTTGGGGTCATAGGAGTCCCATTGCTTCAAAATGCACTCCAGAGGAGTGCAGGCTGAAGATGGTCTGTTATCCATGTAGAAAGAGAAGTGATAAAAAGGAATCCCTTTAGTTTTCTTCCTTTCTTTTAGAATGACTCAGGGTAAAGGGGGTGACAATGGGGACATTCCTTCAACTGTTTCCTTCCTTGGTTCCCTGAGTCCAAGCATACATTAAAGGTGGATGCAGGCATTACCCTCACCCATGGATCCAGAGGAGCTAAGCAATAATATTAGTCATACTTACCAATGCAACTTTAGTCCTCCATTGGTGATTTTCCTTTGATTTTCTAGACTTCTGTACTCTGCATGTTTTCCCAATGGATGGCTCTCAGGACAGACTATGTAACAGTTGTATGAATGCAAGGCCCCTTACCACAGGGAGAATACTAGGTAGAGCTGTATATTCTGTTATTATACCCCAGATTAAAGTATTCTTAGGCAGTGGTTCTGGTTAACATCCATAGTATGTAAAATACCCATTTTTTTTTTAAAGGCACATGGGTATTTTAAAAAAATGGCAGTTTTTCTGCTAATGGGAAATTATTGACACAAAATTTTTGTTTGGGGAGATATCTTCCTCCTAATTGTTGTGTTTTCTCACTCACATATGGGGCATAAAGCTTGGTTTACAGTTGACGGGTGTAAAAAGAGAGTAGAATTGGGAAAAATACAGTGTTTTAGCAAAGGTTTGACAAGGTACATCTTGGAGAGGATTCCTATTCCACTAGGCGGTGCTGTATGTCTTGAAATACCATGTGCTTTCCAGACAAAGGGTAGAGAAAAAGATGTTCACTGGGTGGGAGTAGAGGCCAGGAGGCCCTCTGCTTCTAGAAAAATAAAAAAATGGCCATCCCTTTAGCTGTATTCCCAGTTACTATGGCATTTGCTGATCTTGCCTAATAGGATTATTTCCCTTAACTGTAAAAATTCCTGCAGCACTGCATAAAGAGAGGGGACAGGATGCACAGTGGTCTTGGAAAGAAAAAATTTGATGAAAAAAACTTGGAGATGCTATTGCTTACGCCCAATGGGCAGTAAGAAGATGGAAAAATAAGAGTCCAGAAGCCTTTGAGTAACTGTCAATTGTCTCTGGATATCTTCCAGCCCCAGATGATGGCTAGGCTCTTTGTGAAAAGAAATCAGTTCAAAACAGAGCCAATATTCCTAACACCCTGAAAACACTGGGAGATTAGTTGAGTACTCCCTAGCAAGCCTGTCATCTGAGTCTTTGAAGTGGCAGCAATCATAATGGTCTCTTAACTGGCCATCGGATGCCCAGTTTTTAAAGTTTCAGTTTACAATTTAAAATGAGGCAGATAGACTCAAAATAAAATAGAGAATTGGGGTCCACTCATATAATTACCTTTCTGATGAATCTACCCTTGATCCTAGATGAGGCCCCACAATGAAACAGCCTCATCTGGAGTAATACCTAAGGTTTCTTGTCTTATGGCCATGGAAAAAATAGGATACAGACATGCAAAGAGTGAGATTAGAGTGAAAGTTTAATAGGCAAAAGAAAGCAAATAGCTCTCTGTGGCAGAGAGATGTCCTGGAAAAATGGGTTTCCTGTTCATGGCAAAATAGAGTGTTTTAAAGATCAGCTGGTGAGGAGGCAGTGTCTGATTTACATAGGACATGAAAAACTGGTTAGACCAAGTGTGTCATTTGCATGGGGGTGAATCTCTGGTAACCCCATCCTAATCGTTTATCATGCAGGCAGTTTCTCTGCCTGAGCTGTGCCATGTTGCCCATTTCTTTGTTCCTGTAAACATGGTAACAGAGAGGGAAGATGGAGCCTTCATGTTGAAGTGTGGCCCCCAAGTAGCCCTTTTCTCTTGGCATAGCTGTCAGCATTTGCCCATGCAGGCTTCCAGCTTGCTTATCTCTGTCTGCAGCTTGATTCTTCAGGTTGCTCTTGTTAGGAAAAAAAATAATTTTCTGGGCTGCTTTTTGTTAGAAGGGAAGCGCTGTTGAGGACTCTTTAAGCTCTCATTATCTATCTAATTTCTTTCTACCTCCTGTATCAATAAGATCACTTTGGGCTGCGCATGGTGGCTCATGCCTGTAATCCCAGCACTTTGGGAGGCTGAGGTGGATGGATCACCTGAGGTCAGGAGATTAAGACCAGCCTGGCCAACATGGTAAAACCCCATCTCTACTGAAAATATAAAAATTAGCCAGGCATGGTAATGGGGACCTGTAATCCCAGGTACTCTGGAGGCTGAGGCAGGAAAATCACTTGAATCCAGAAGGCAGAATTGCAGTGTGCTCAGATGGTGCCATCACACTCCAGCCTGGGCTACAAAAGTGGAAGTGGAACTTCACCTAAAAAAAAATTACTTTGACTGCAGTGTGGACAACACACTGAAAGACAACAGAGGAGTAGAGTCAGAGAGATTGCTTAAGTAGCTATTGGCCTATTCAAGAAAAAATGTTTTAAATACTAAAATCTGGTAAAAATTATGTAGAGAAAGGCAAATGCTCAAGGAATTTTTATACAGTTAAGATACAATAAATATCTTGATATTTATATATTTATCAGATAAATATACTGATACAATAAATCAGTAGATTCTGCCTGCTAATAGCATAAATGTACTTAGAACAAGTTTCTTAGCTGGTCAACACCTGATTTCAGCCTTATGTAATGTTTTCTTATAGAATGTTCTCAAGGAGTTTCAGAACTTCACTCTGAAATTCTCATTTTACGTAGAAATTACTTATGCTTACTCAGCAATCATTGTGTATACTTGAGAACTCTTGAAATATAAGAAAACCTGTAAGTCGTTTCTCTTTTTTTTGTTTTGTTTTGTTATTTTTTTTTTTTTGAGATGGAGTCTCGCTCTTGTTACCCAAGCTGGAGTGCAATGGTGCGACTTCGGTTCACTGCAACCTCCGCCTCCTGGGTTAAAGCAATTCTGCTACCTCAGCCTCCTGAGTAGGTGGGACTACAGGCTGCACCACCATGCTCAGCTAACTTTTGTATTTTTAGTAGAGATGAGGTTTCACCATGTTGACCAGGATGGTCTCGATCTCTTGACCTCGTGATCCACCCGCCTCGGCCTCCGAAAGTGCTGGGATTACAGGATTGAGCCACCGCACCCGGCCTATTTTTTTTTTTAACTGGAGATCGGTTTTCAGCATGGTGGCCAGACTGGCCTCAAGTGATCCACCAACCTCTGCCTTCCAAAGTTCTGGGATTACGGGTGAGAGCCACAGCTGCACCCGGCAGGCACCGAAGAGGTTCCGCTGAGGCCTGCTCGGAGGAGTCGCGCTGGGGAAGGCGAGTGGAGGTGCTTCTTGATAAAACTGGGGAATCCCATCCCAGATCTCAGGGGTTCTGTCCTGGCCTGCCTCCCTGGATCGTCCAGCCTGGGCGGGAGTGGGGAGAGGACCTCGCCCTTCTTGACTGGGGCTGCATGGGAGGGTCCAACTTCACCAAAGGCCTAGCCCGCGGTTCCTAGCCTATAGCCCCACCCAGCAGCCCCCGGTCCCCCCTCCCCTCTAGACCTGGCAGTCGCCCTCAACAAACATGGCGCCGATGGCCTCAGTACGTCAAGCGACACGCCCTCCGGCCTCTTCCGGCGCTTCTTTTATCACCGCAGCCGGAAGCCGAGCGGCAGAGTGGGCGGTCTGGCTTTCGGGCCGGCGGCGGACTGCGTGGCTTTGTGGCCGCGCGCTGGCGCTGCAGGGAGGGATGCTGTGCCCCTGGGAGAGCCCGTCGCGGGAGCGCAAGGAGCTGGACAGACTCTGGAGCTTCCACGCTGACTTCTCGGACGACCGGCGCCAGGGCTTCCAGGAGCAGTGGTAGCGGCTGCTGGTACTCAGGGCAGGGCCGGGAGGCACGCGGAAGCCCATCGTAGGGACTGGGAGAGTCCAGGCCGCCTCGCAGGCTCCTTTCCCTGGGCGCCCGGGGGTTGGGGGCCCAGGGGAGGTTAAAGATGAATGGGCTTGGCTGGTCAACATGGTGAAACCCCGTCTCTACTAAAAATACAAAAAATTAGCTGGGCATGGTGGCACGTGCCTGTGGTCCCAGCTACTCGGGAGGCTGAGGCAGGAGAATTGCCTGAACCCGGGAGGCGGAGGTTGCGGTGAGCCGAGATCGCGCCATTGCACTCCAGCCAGGGTAACAAGAGCGAAACTCCCTCTCAAAAAAAAAAAAAAAAAAAAAAAAGATTAATGGGCTTGGGAGCGTGGGGTTGGGGGAGTGGGGCCGGGAGGGGACCCAGGAGGACCGCGGAAGAGGAGGCAGGAGGAGGAGGAAGCGCCCCTGCCGAGCTCCCTCCCGAGGTGAAGGCTGAGCCCGGGCAGTGTCCTTTTTTTTTTTTTTTTTTTAATGTTTATTATTAATTTTTAAAACATTTTTTGAGACCGGGCTTGGCCCTGTTGCCCAGGCTGGAGCGCAGTGCCGCAGTCCTAACTTCTGATCTCAAGGGAGCCTTCTGCCGCAAGTTAGTAGGGCCTCCACACCTTGCTAATTTAAAAAAAAACTTTTTTTTTTTTGAGTCGGTCGGAGTTTCGCTCTTGTTACCCAGGCTGGAGTACAATGGCGCGATCTAGGCTCACCGCAACCTCCACCTCCTGGGTTGAGGCAATTCTCCTGTGTCAGCCTCCCGAGTAGCTGGGATTACAGGCACGTGTCACTATGCCCAGCTAATTTTTTGTATTTTTAGTAGAGATGGGGTTTCACCATGTTGACCAGGTTGGTCTCAAACTATTGCCCTCAAGTGATCTGCCCACTTCAAGCTCCCAAACTGCTGGGATTACAGGCTTGAGCCCCTGCCCCGGCCTTTTTGTGTGTGTGTGAGTGTGTGTGTGTGTGTGATAAGTATCTCGCCAGGCTGGAGTGCAGTGGCATGATCTCGGCTCACTGCAACCTTCACCTCCTGGGTTCCAGTGATTCTCCTGGTTCAGCCTCCCAAGGAGCTGGAATTACAGGTGCACTCCACCACACCTGGGTAGTATTTTTGTATTTTGATTAGAGACGGGGTTTCACCTTGGTGGCCAAGATGGTCTGGATCTCCTGACCTCATGATCCGCCCACCGTGGCCTCCCAAAGTGCTGGGATTACAGGAGTGAGCCACCACACCCAGCCAAAGCTGGTTTATTTAAAACAACAACAATAACAAAAAACAGGCTAGGTGCACATTTGTAATTCCACCACTTTTGGAGGCCAAGGCAGGAAGATTGCTTGAGCCCAGGTGTTTTAGAGCAGCATGGGCAACATGGCAAGACCCCATCTTTACTCAAAATGAAAATTTAGGTCAGGCACAGTGGCTCACACTTCTAATCGAGAACTGTGGGAGGCCAAGGCAGGTGGATCATCACGAGGTCAAGAGAGCGAGACCACCCTGGCCAACATGGTGAAATCCCATCTCTAATAAAAATAGAAAAATGAGCTGGCCATGGTGCCAGCTACTCAGGAGGCTGAAGCAGGAGAATCACTAGAACCTGAGAGGTGGGGACTGCAGTGAGCCGAGATCTCACCACTGTACTCCAGCCTGGCAACAGAACAGACTCTGGAAAAAAAAGGAAAATTTAGCCAGCTCCTCACAACCACCTAACCTCCTCTATGTCTCCCTGTATGGTCAGGCTGTGTGAGTACCAGAGAGGCTTGGTGACTGGGAATCTTTTCTTTCTCATAGCTGAGTTCCTGTTCTGGGCTTCATTCTGCATGACCCATCTCAGCAGGAGGGCCAGGGACCTCATCCTCTATGGCACCAAGGAATTCAGCTTCCTGCAGCTCTCAGATGCCTACAGGTAAGTTCCAAGCCGCCACCACCACCTGCTCTTCCCAGCCTCTGTATACCCTATCCCCCTTGGGCAGGCATGGCATTTTTCCTCCTCACCCCACCCCTCCTCTGCCAGACCTTACCAGTGAGCTGCTGGACCAGCCAAGGGCCCAGCCCCTTAAGTGCAGTTCTCCTGCCTCAGCAGCCCAAGTAGCTGGTCTGAGACCACTACCACAACCGGCTAATTTTTGTACTTTTAGTAGGGATGGGGTTTCTCCATGTTGACCAGGTTGGTCTCTAACTCCTGACCTCAAGTGATGTGCCTACTTCAACCTCCCAGACTGCTGGGATTACAGGCTTGAGCCCCTGCCCCGGCCTTTTTTTTTTTTTTTTTGTGATAAGTCTTTGGCCAGGCTGGAGTGCAGTGGCATGATTTCAGCTCACTGCAACCTTCACCTCCTGGATTCAAGTGATTCTCCTGGCTCAGCCTCCCAAGTAGCTGGGATTACAGGTGCACACCACCGCACCCAGGAAGTATTTTTGTATTTTGATTAGAGACGGGGTTTCACCTTGGTGGCCAAGATGGTCTGAATCTTTGACCTCATCATCCACCCACCTTGGCCTCCCAAAGTGCTGGGATTACAAGAGTGAGCCACCACACCCAGCCAAAGCTGGTTTACTTAAAACAACAACAATACAAAACCGGCTAGGTGCAGTGGCTCACATTTGTATTTCGAGTGCCTTGGGAGGCCAAGGCAGGAAGATTGCTTGAGCCCAGGTGTTTTAGAGCAGCATGTGGAACATGTATGCCATCACAGCTCACTGCAGCCTTGACCTCCCACACTGCAGCTATTTGATTTAAAGTGAGAGACATGCAATTCTTCCTTTTACTCAAAGACTTAGAAGCCATTGGAGGGTAATTAATTGGCCTAATTTCAATATTGTTGTATCTTAAAGAATAGAGAGGCCCAAAGAGAGGGAGGGACATGGAGAGGGGGGAAGATTCAGTAGATGGAGCAGTCAGAACACACTCAGTTGACCTTCCAGGCACAAGCAATCCTCCCACCTCAGCCTCCTAAGTAGCTGGTAGCATCTGCAATGCAATCACACTATTTTTTTTTAGTAGAGATGGGTGTCTCATTGTGTTGCCCAGGTTTGCACTGAATAATTCTGTTGGCAGCATTTTAAGTTTTTCTTTAATACTGTATCTGTTATGGTGATCTGTGATCACTGACCTTTGATGTTACTACTGTAATGGTTTTGGGATTCTGTCAAGCCCACTTACATAGGATGTTTAACTTAATTGATAAGTGTTCAGTGTGTTCTGACTGCTCCACTTACTGTTTCCCCATCTCTCTCCCTCTCTTTGGGCCTCTCCATTGTTTCAAATACAACAATATTGGTATTAGGCCAATTAATTACCCTACAATGTGTCTAAGTGTTTGAGTAAAAGGAAGAGTTGCATGTCTCTCACTTTAAATCAAAAGCTAGAAATGATTACACTTAGTGAGGGAGCCATGTCAAGAGCCATGATGGGCTGTAACCTAGTTCTCTTGTGCCAAACAGTTAGCCAAGTTGTGAAAGTTTTTGAAGAAAGTTAATGTGCTACTCCAGTGAACTTGCAAATGATAAAATGAAACAGGCCAGGCTCAGTGACTCACACCTGTAATCCCAGCATTTTGGGAGGCTGAGGCAGGAAGATGAGACCAGCCTGGCCAACATGTTGAAATCCCATCTCTACTAAAAATACAGAATTAACCAAGCTTGGTGGTGCATGTCTGTAGTCCCAGCTACTCAGGAGGCTGAGGCAGGAGAATAGCTTGAACCCCAGAGTTGGAGGTAGCAATGAGCTGAAATCGTGCCACTGCATTCCAGCCTAGGTTAAAGAGTTAGACTCTATCTTAAAAAAAGAACAAAAAAGGGAAAATGAAACAGCCTTACTGCTGATATGGAGAAAGTTGCAGTGGTCTGGATAGGCAATCAAACCAGCTACAACAGTCCCTTAAGCCAAAGCCTAATCCAGAGCAAGGCCCTAGCTCTCTTCAGTTCTGTGAAGACTGAGGGAGGTAAGGAAGTTGCAGAAGAAAAGTTGGAAGGTAGCGTTAGTTGAGGATGTTTCAGGAAAGAAGCCATTTCCATAATATAAGAATGCAAAAAGAGGCCACAAGTGCTGATGGAGAAGCTGCAGCAAGTTATCCAGAAGATCCAGCTAACATCACTGTTGAAAGTGGCTACACTAACAACAGTTTCAATGTAGATGAAACAACCTATTGGAGGAAGATGCCATCTAGGAGTTTTAATAGCCAGGAAGGAGAATTCAAAACTTCATAGGACTGACTGACTAATGCAACTTGTGACTTTAAGTTGAAGCCAACGTTCATTTACCATTCCGAAAATCCTAGGGCCCCTGAGAATTATGCTAAATCTCTTCAGCCTGTGCTCAATAAATGGAAGAACAAAGGTTGGATGACAGCACATCTGTTTACAGCATGGCTTACTGACAATTTTAAGCCCACTGTTAAGACCTACTGCTGAGGATCCAAGATGACTGAATAGGAACAGCTCCAGAATGCAGGTCCCAGCAAGAACAATGCAGAGGTGAGTGCCCACCACATTTCTGAAGAAATTTTCATTGCCCACAGACCAGGAGATTCCTGGGCAAAAAGCACCACAAGTTTTCAGCACGGTAGTGTCAGTTGGTGCTGGGTTGGCACACAGAAACTCAAAAAAGTCTGGGTGGCCGTTTCAACTGGTGCCTGATGGTTTCTGTAACTCTATAGTACGTTTAAAGTCTGGTAATGTGATTCCTCCAGTTTTGTTCTTCTTCCTTAGGATAACTTTGGTTATTCTGGGTCTTTTGTGGTTTCATATACATTTCAGCATTGTTTTTTTCTATTTCAGTGAAGAATGTTACTGGTATTTTGATAGGGATTGCACTGAATCTGTAGATTGCTTTAGGTAGTATGTGTTAACAATATTGATTTTTCCATTCACAAACATGGAATATCTTTCCATTTTTTTGTGTCATCTTCAATTTCTTTCATTAGTGGTTTATATTTTTCATTGTAGATATATTTCACTTCTTTGGTTAAGTTAATTTTGAGGTACTTTATTGGTGGCTACTGAAAATAGGATTACTTTCTTGATTTCTTTTTCAGATTGTTTGCTGTTGGCATATAGAAATGCTTCTGATTTTCGTATGTTGATTTTGTATCCTGCAACTTTACTGAATTTATTGATAAGTTCTATTAGTTTTCTGGCAAAGTCTAGGTTATTCCCAGTATAAGATCATGTTATTTGCAAACAAGGATACTTTGGCTTTATCCTTTCCAACTTGGATGCCCTTTATTCATTTCTCTTCTGTGACTGCTCCAGCTGGATCTTCCAGTACCATGTTGAATAACAGTGGTGAAAGATAAGCAGCCTTGTCATGTTCCAGATCTTAAAGGAAAGGCTTTCAGTTTTTCCCCGTTCAGTATGATGCTAGCTGTGGATTTGTTGTATATGGCTTTTATTTTGTTTGAAGTGTGTTTATTCTATATCCAGTTCTTGAGGGTTTTTATTATGAACGGATGTTGAACTTTATCAAATGTTGTTTGTCAGCATCGATTTAAATGATTATATGGTTTTTGTCCTTCGTTCTGTTGACATGTGTTTCACACTATGATTTGTATATATTGAGCCATCCTTACATCTCTGGGTTAAATTCAGTCATTATTTTATGTCGCTGGTTTTTGTGTTTTATCACGCAGGTTTTGGGGGAGATTTTTTTCCTTCTTAAAGATGGATTTAGTAGGGGGAAGTTTTACATGCCTGAAGACCTTTTATTATTTATAAATACTCTGTGAGGTTCCCTACAGAGAACGTTCTTGTTACCAGAGGCTTTTATTGATTAGATGTCCAGATAAAGGAATTCCAGAGTCACCAAGGAATGTAGCAAGAGTAAACTCTCATCTGTGTGACCCCCTCGGAAAGCAATTAGAAAAATTAGTGTTCTGGCTTTTCTTTTTAAGAGATAATTTAGTATGGTAAAAGAAGAGAAAGGAAAATATATGTGACTCAGACTAAATGGAGAGAAACAAATTAAGCTTTCATTTTTCTTCTTTCAGGAGCAAAAGTGCATGTAGAAATGACTGAAATGTCTGCTTGTTTTTCTGTTTGTTTTTCAAGGGCTTTGAGGGCATGCAGTGAGTGTCTAGTTATTTGGAGACATTATTGTGGCATCATCATCATTATTCCTTTTTGATAACTAAATGAAAGTGCTGTCCTTGGAAATACCATTTAACAGTAAAGAAATTTTCTCCTAAGATAGGCCTTGAAGGTACACTGTCAAAAACCTCCCAGCCCAGCAAGGCTGTGTTCTGAACTCTTTCTCTACTGTTGGCTCAATATTGTTTCAATAATCGGCTACTTTAAAAAATCAATCATGGCTGCTTATCTTATATAGTATATTATATAGAGACAAAAGGATATAGAGATGAAAATTGGAAATGGCCACCTATTAATAACTGAATTTTTTTAGGTTGGCATGTACTGTGGGATCTTCTGTGTTTGTTTGTTTTGTCAATTACTTCTATACTGCAACAGGGATGTTCAAAATTCAGAAAATTTCATGGAGGCGTTTCCTGTTAATCTTTGTAGAAATTATCATGGTGAATTCCAATTGTACCATGTAAGTATTTTTCCCTTTGTTAAATATATTCAGGTTGAAATACGGAAACTACATACTATAATTTGAAAGAAATGTAATTCCTCCATCTCAGGTGCCTGCAAATATGGTAATCATTAGGAAAGTATATAGAATGGTTGTCTTAACTGTGAGCATTATTGTTAATATTTTTGAATTTTAGACCTGGGAGGTGCCTTTGACATTATTCAAATTCTTCTATTACATAAAGAAAAAGTCTGAGGCCAAGAGCAACTGAAGGTTTTCCCTGGATCATCTAAGTGTAGTGAGAAGCACAGCAGGGACCAGACCAGGCTGCCGTGGTCTCTGACTTTGTCCCCTTGCTAATGTGATTTCATCAG